CATATTGTATTCATTTCTATGCTTGGTCAGCTCAGGAGATTTTTGTGGTCTAGCATGCAGAGCTGTGTAACGGCTTCTGGTCGGCATCTGTCCCTGTGATGCAGCCACCTTAACAATCTCTCTCTCTCTCTCAGCCCTACAGAATCTTTCCCAAGCCCTGCTCCAGTGATGCCTGAATCGCCCCTGAACAGCTGTTGGTCACAGTAGAGCCAGCCTTCAGAAATGAGGATTATGCCACCGATGACGATCCCAGCTACCAATGCAAGAATTACAAACTATGGAGAATCTTCTAGTGTGCTCCAATCTTGAAGATTCATTCACACTTGATTACTTTGAAGCCTTAACACCCCAGGCAAGGCTGTGTGCAACACTGGATGGGTGTGGTGTAGTGACTTGATAAGAAGCAGCAGCAGATCACAAGCTAGAACTGCCCACTCAGTAAAGTTGCAGTATAAACCAGAGGTTGCCTCTACGAGTATTGAAGAAATGCAAATGTATTTGAGCAGATGGGTTTGCTCAGAAACAAAGATTCAAACTAAAGACGAAAAATCCCACCAATATATGCAGTGGGCCTCCAAGTGTAAAAGAAATTTTATAAGGAGAGAAAAATATTCATTTTTTTAAAACAGACATCAGTAAACAAAGACAAATAGAGAGAGACATTAAATGCATAATAAACAACTTTGTATAAGCAGCGAGTCAAAAAGCTTTTGTTTGTAATGTCTGTAACTGTTTTGCAGACAGAGATATCTCCCTTGCACTAGCAACATTAAGTGGTCGTATCTTTTTCTTTTATGACAATAGCAGACTGTGTCAACATGTTTGTAGAACCAACTCCTTAAAAGAGCAGAGAGTACCACAATCAAAATGGGAAGAAAATACAGATAACAAAAGACGCACATCTGAAAACTGCAGGGTAGGGACTTTTCATATATATTGCCACTCCTCCCTTAACGGCTGGTTTGCTAAGTGAGAACTTGTACCTGGCTGTGTGTGTACGGGTTTGTGTCAACCTCATTCAAATTGTTTTAATATTCATTTTGCACCATTTTTTCATGCAGTTCAGTAGTGTAAACAAATTTGAAAATCAGTTTTATATTCTGTACATTACTTAAATTTCAGACCGTAAATAAAAGTAAATTTTTTTATTTTTTGTTTTAATTATTCATTTTGTTTATTTTTATTTATTTTGAAGAAAGCAAAAACAATCATGATCAATGTTCCCATACAGATTAATTTGATCTTGAAATTTTTATTTTTATTTTTAGCAGATTTTATAACAGCTAAGTGCAGGAGAGAGAGGGTTGTTAAACAGGTAAGTCATTAAGCAAAAAGTGGTTGTACTGTTATTTGTGATGAAAAAGGGATATGAGTAAATAAATAAAAGTACCAGTCATAAATGAACCTTTTCGGCATTCATCTGATGAAATATGATTTAAAACCAATGAAGTTTGAAATTGTTATGACATAATAATACAAATTTTGATAATAGTTTTCATCTTGCTGTAAACAAACAAGTTCTCTACAGTTTAATCTGGTTAAATTTTATTTTTACTTTATGCTCTAAGATACAAGTGAGCATAAAAATGAAGATGTCCAAAGACAGGAAGTAGCATCTTGATTCATTGTCTACTTCAAGGACAAGCCGGAAAAACAAATTTTTAAGCTTTGAGAAACGTCTTATCTTTTTGCAACATGTTTTGGTAAAATCGTTGTTTACCCAAATAGCAAATATCACCACTACTATAATGAGTCATTGTGAATTCACAGCAGAATAAAGGCTTTTCCTAAATCCTTCTATGACTAATATTCTTTACCATCACTCATCAGCAAATCCTACGTCATCTCTTTTTCTTTCTAAACTTTTTGTACTGCATTTGCTCTCCACTGGTCACAGTCTTTCTCTCCTGCTGTCGTAGCGACGGGCACGGTCTCCACTTCCGAGACTGAAACTACCCTCCTCCTCATTCCAGCCAATTTACATAGAGCTTGTTAACTCGCCTATGAAAAACACCAACAAGCCAGCTACCAATCACAGTTCCCGTGCCTGCCCACCTCCACTCACTTTGGGGGTGTCAAGTTGACTGACCAACTCATTACACGCTCCCCCTGATCTTAAGATCACAAAGCTTCTCAGTTCGAGAGATGGTCACGTCTGTTTGGTAACTGCGTCCACATATATACAACTTGCACACTTGACATATTGGGATGACCACACATGCGAACTTGCTTGCTCTGTGTTGGCAGATTTCCAGATTCATCCTGTGTCTCGCTGTCATGATCACACACCGTGCAACTCGGGAAGGCCTTTTCTTCTGGGCACTCCTGAGTGGGATGACAGGGTCCTCATCCTCAGATGAACTCTCATCTGTTGAGCTGCCATCCGCCTCTGGACAGCTGACCACGTTGACGTCTGCAGGTAGAGTACTGATATTTGAGGCAAAACTCAGTGGATTCGACTTTAAATACACCACTCGTGCACCATCTTCAGTATCACTTGGCACCAACCAACCTTTTACTCCATCTGTTATCCTTTATTCTTACTTTATGTCCTGTTTACTTCCATTTTTGCTGCTCAATTCTTTCTCTCTTATTTGGTTTTCTTCTGATTCCTGTTGATCAATTTCTTTCTCTTACATCTGTCCATAGTATTTACCTTTGTGCTTTTTAATTTTTCAGGTTTTGTGTCATAAGTGACATACTTCCAGTAGAAGTTGACAAAGTGATTTTCATTATGTTGCTATTTTTATTATATCTTGTTTTATTTTTATTTTCATAGCCTTTTGTGCTTTAATGCAATCTGCTAAGTAAATGTTTTCCTGAACATCTTCCAGCTCTTCAGCTACTATTTTTATTATCTTTTTCAAAACTTGTACATTACTATTACTTCCCCTACCAACTCCATTTTCAACCCTAACATTCAAACTTTCCCTTTTTAGGTAAGTACATAAAAAAAAATTATCATCAAAACATGGCGTACTATGCATTGAAACCTTTGTGTTAAGATTAAAGACCACAGTATTTTTTCATGTAAAAAATGTTTTTAATCTGTTTTAGAACCTTGGAAATTATGGTTAAAAATTTTGTTTTTCTGATGTCAACATGGGACCATAAGTTTATAAGGGGAAATTTGACAGTTATTGTCACAATGAAAAAAAAATCACATGGATTTTGAAATTCTTGCAAAAATTGTCAGATTTTAATGAAAATTTCAGGACTTATCCAGACATGAATTAAATATTATTTTTGAAAGGTTTCATTTTTATAAAACTTTGTAATTCTTAAAATTTTTCTGTTACGCACCACTAATTTCATTTTATGAAATTTTGAAAATATTCTTTTTGTAGCATTTAATGTTTAGTCATAAGCCCTTGGAGAAGTTACATTATAAGATTTTTTTTTTGGTCAAACAAGACCACCAAATTAGAGAAAATCTGCTCTGAATAGTAAAATAAAAAATCAAACTATGACATTATTCAATTATGAAAGTTTTTAATTTATGAATAAATGTCTTAAAACATTTTTTTTTTTTTGATGAATAATGAATTCTTACAAAAATTGTTTTCCTTTTTAAAAATTTTAATTGGAATAATTTATAAACTTTTAAAATTCTTTTAAAATTTATAAACTTTTAAAATATTACTATGTTGCAGTCAAGTAATATTGTTATTAATAAAAACTGTATTTACTAAATCATGAATAAATGGAAAAGCTTGCCGATTCCAATATTTTAAAAAGAAGTTTATTTTTTGTAAATGTAAGTAAAAAGTGCCGATTTTTGTACGTACCATGCACATAAATCAAGAGCGGTAACTTAATGATTTTCCAAGCGTAGGTTAGATATGTGGCTCAAAGCCGAAAGTAGGGGGAAGCCAGTGAGGATCGAACTCATTATTCAGTCGTAATTTTCCTAGCAAAACAAGCTTGCTAGATAAATTCATTTTTTAACATTTTCTCTACAAACGTTTTCATTGCCTTAAAAACATTTTTGACGCCGCACTGTACTTATGTTGAATTTTTTTTCCAAATGCACCAGAAAGTGTCTAGCTAAAACATTTAAATCGCGTAATTAATTTTAAAAGCAGTTTCATGTGAATAAAGTAGGATTTAAACAAAATTAACGTGTCCAAAAAACTCAAAAAGCCATATCGACACCTGCCCCGGATTAAAAAGGCTATGACAGTTGTTTACTTTTACAGTTACACAAGTAAAGTTCTTTTTATTTTACGTCTCAAAGGATTTAGGAACATAATTCAATCATTTTAATTAATTTAACATTTTTGTCGTGTGAGTAAATTAGGAATCGTAATTCTTTTCTAAACTTAAATGTACAAGAGCTTCTAAAATCTGAATTATGCATGTTTAAAAATACGAGAACTTCTCTACTAGGGTAAGATTCAGTCAGTAAAGTGTATTTGCTTACATTTGAAAAATGTGGACAGTAAATGACACATTTTTCTCTTTTCCGCTAGCAGTGTTGACAATATAAAACAACAATGCAAATAACAGAGCATTACGAAGTGAAAAAAAAAAAAAAAAAAAAAAAATCAACTAAAAAACAAAAAACCAGAGTGAATGGATTCTTTTACTTTTTGGTTTAATGAGAGAGAGAAAGCAAAGAGGAGAAAATACATCATAGCGCTTTAATTGTAGTGACGTGTCGAGAAAGAAAAAAGAAAACTAATAACAAGGAAATAGTAACTTAAAATAAAAAAAAAAGGAAAATAAAAAAGAAAGTAGGTTGGACCCTTGTTTTATTTTTATTTTTTTAAGTAGATTCCTATCCTTGTCTAATTGGCATTGTCACACGTTAAAAAACTGACTTTTACAAGAAACAGGTTTATAGCTTTTTATGTGTGAAGAATAGAGGTCAGTGTGAACATTATTAAAAAGTTATTTTCCAATTCCAGAACTGACTACAGATGTCCATACCGTCAGTCAGAAAAGTATCTATCAAGTAGTAACAAAAAAGTAAAAACTGACTCACTCTTGTGTCTCACCGTCAGAGAGAGAGAGAGAAAAAAAAGAGCGGGTGGCATATTTAGCTAGGTCAGTTAAAGGAAAAGGTGGGGAAGAGACCGGCAGGAATGAAGGGGGAAGGATAGAGAATAGGCACAGACCGAGAAATACGCATGCAAACATATACACTTCCTACTCTTTAGTAATCTTTATCTATTACCGCCATAATGATAATCTTTGACATTTCCAGTACTCAAACACTGAAGAGTTCCAGTAATGTCGGCGACAGACAATTCTCCTTGTGCAATAGCAAGCCAACAAGAAAAATGTTCCCAAACTACAGAATCAACTTATTTTTACTTTTCCGAAAAGACAGTCACGTAGTCAGTTTAAAGATGACTAACATTTACTTCTGATGTAAAACGAAAAAAAAAAAAAAGTTTCTGAGATTGACTTCGATGAGATCAACAAGCAAAGATTGAATTTTTATGTTGAATCACGAATAACAAAATCATTTTCCCCAGAACTTGTCAACCAATGAGTTTGTAAAATCTAGATTTTTATAAAGTATCTTGTATTCAATTCTGTTTAAGAAATAAACTACTACCAAGTATCAAATATAAGCGTTTTCTTGTTTATGAACGCGTTGTTGAATAAATCCTACTTGAATAATTTTAAATTCTTTATTCAGCTGTTCGAGACCATTTATGGTAGTAAGGTATCGTATTTTAAGTTCAATATTAAAAGAAAAAGTTTATCAAAGATAAGGAAGAAAAAAATGTCAAACTCATATTCGCGTAGGAGTGTGTAACTGTTTTTTTTTTTAATAGAAAGATTGAAAATATACTTGTGAATTAAAGTTTTGAATTAAGTCCGTTTTGCATCATATATATAAAGTGCTTGCAATACTCATAGAATTCTAATTATGCTACATTTAAAAAGAAAATTATCTAGACATTTAATGGTTAGTCTGACAAGATCATTTGTGTGAAGATCAAAGTTGCTCCACAAGCAAATAGTCTGTTGGAGAAGCCTGCTTACTCTTCCTATGCAACATACTAGTTTTTTTGTTTGTTTATTTTTTTTTTTGTACATTCTTACACTTCTGTTAATCATTTCACCCCAAGCTATGTGATAATGCCACTAGGACACAAGTGAGTGTGAAAGAGAATGAGGAAACTTTAGTGAAGAGAAGTGAGAAGAAATAGCAATAAAAGAATAGGCTTCAGGAAAACAGAAGATAGCAATTGGCAACACATTTAAATTTTTGAAGAATATCAGTAGCAAGAAATCAGTTTCACAGGTGAGAAGTGTGAGAAAAACTATTAGAACTGATGGTTGCATCTAACTAGTCCAATAGTAAAAATGGTGAGACATAGTCAACTAAAGAAAAAAAACTCACCAGAGCAGTTGTCATGAAAATATTTGTAGGAAAGACAGGGAAGCTATATCTTGATGCCAGGTCAGGATCAATTACATTACATACCATTTGAATTTTGTCAAGAAACTTGTGAATTCTTAATATATTTAAAGATGCACATATGAAAAGTTAAAAGTAAGGATTTAAAAAAAATGTTATTGATCCCAGGGGAAAAGTAGTCTATGAAAACTTATCAGTGAATTGCAGATTATATAAAGATGTACGAAGTTCAAATTTGTATGTTACAGTTTCACATCAGACACTGATCACATGCTAGGAGTCTTGCAAAAGGCATGCATTTGAAGATTCCCGTGTCTTTATATATGGTGCAAAGGAATGAAAATGTTTTTATACCCAGACAAAACTATCAAAATTGGCCCACCTAAACCGTTACAAGATATCTGTTGTTCTGTATGGCAGCGAGTGCTGAACAATCTCCTCAAAGATGAAGAAGAGACTTGAAACAACAGAAATGTGGTTTGACAGATGGTTGCTAAGAATACCATGGACTGAACATTTGAGCAATGATGAAGTTTTAGAGAAAATGGAAACAAAAAGGAAACTTATACTTAACATCAGGAAGAGACAGTTGAGGTTCCTAGGGCACATAATGAAGGAGGGAGGGTTTGGAAAATCTAATACTCACCGGACAGAGTGAAGGCAAGAGAGACAGAGCAAAACAGCACATGGCATACTTAGTTTGAGTAAATGGATGGCAGGATTTAGGAGAAATAACAAAGACAATTTATTAAGAGCTACAAAGGACAGGGAGGAGACATGGCACATGAAGATAAAGATAAATGAAGACATGTCTTTCTCATTTTCATGTACCATATATATAGACAATAGACAAACCAAAAAAAAAAAAAAAATATACAAACAAATTGACCTAAATTCATCCAGGTAAATAGACAAACCAATCCCAAATTAAAAACTGTTCCCGCCAAAAAAATAATAGTTAGAATGAACTACAACAACCAACCCCAAAATTGAACAAATAGCTTTAATTAAATTCTCAAACCAAAACAAAACTGTTAAATACGTGATATAAACAAATTTTTTTACTACGTTAATAAATAAATAAATAAAATAAGAAACAAAAAAATAAAATCGAAAGCAATATAATTTGACCCAAATAAAAAAAAGCGACTTCCGGTAAAAAAATAACCGCCATAATAGAATACCCACAATGCACCACTAACCCGTATATATATATATAAATAGCCGAGAAAAATAACAGCATATGGGCCTGACGATTGCATATATAGTATGAAACAGACTGTCGCCTCTAAGTGTTGACTTCTATGTTCACTTTTATATTTATATATATATAATTATTTTTTTATAAAAAAATTATAACATAAGTATGTTATAAAATCACTACAAAAATAGCCATTTTGTTTCACCCCACTGTGTCTTATCAAGTGATGAATTCATTCCGTATATACCAATTATATACTTTTGAGATATATATATATATATATATATATATATATATATATATATATATATATATATATATATATATATATATATAAGACATTTCTGTTTATACATTTTTTATAGATACAAATATTTAAGTAAATGCTCTGTTTATAATAAACAGTATTAAACAACATTTACTGCCTGAATGTCCGGAGAAATTTTCACAGAAAATATTAGGTCCTCCAACAGGATTCGAACCTGTATCCTATACAGAACCGTCATTTAGCTTGACGTGCCTTTACATGACAAAGACAAATTGAAAGACAACTTGAAATGTCTCAACTTTGATCTGAAAACCTGGGAAGCCTAAGCATCAAACTGAAAGGAGTGGTGTAAGACATTTTTCATTAAGTTAAAGGGTTTTGAAGGCAGTAGACTGAAGCACCGTGATCAGCTCCGTCAAGCTCTGAAGCAGAGATGCTATCACAATCCTGCTTTAATAAATTTCATCTGTCAGTGTGGCTCTGTCACCTGCAGCAAGGCTGGGCTAGTATCACACTTAAGAATGCACAAATGAAATATGCCTTTCCCTTACCCGATTTTCTTCACAATTGCCCTGGCTAGCATGCATAATGGTAAAACAAAAGGTACTATCCAATGCTGATCCATTTATTGTTTGCGATAGGAGAGTCCACCATATATATATATATATATATATATATATATATATATATATATATATATATATATAAAGAAGCCCAAGTGATAAAAGATAATACAAAAATATTGTCTTTAAGGAGAAATATCTTCAGGTTGAAAACCAAACCATTTAATAAAATTATTTTTGCTCAGGTAAGTATTTCAGACCTACTGTCTGAACAATTAAGTTTAATTTATATGATAGGGTTTTCTTGCCAAAATCTGACAAAATGACCAAATGTCAGAATGTATTTTTAATAGCTTTTTAGTGGAAGTGAAAATCAGATTCCTGGACTATGTGTTGTTATTGTACAGTATATTGGGAATGCACAGGCAGCTAATGATCGCTAGAACCTATTGAATCAGACAACTGGTAGGCTTCAGTTTATTTATTCATGTTCAATCATTACATGAGGTTTTGCAGTGCAGCACTGAAATGGCTCTGATTTTTATCATAGATGACAAATTTGAGCAATGTGCTTGCATCATATTTTGCAAGAAGCTTTAAGTTTGGAGGGGGGACATTTTTTATGCCAAACATGTTTTTGAGTGCCATGCACATTTTATGGTCAATTTGGTGTCAATTCAAGATGATTTTTCAGAGTAGCCAATCAAGAAAATATCAGAAAATATAGGAAAAAACTCATGTCCTCATTGATGAGGACAGTCAGTAAACAATAAGCTCTATTCCTCACATGACTGGAATTAGGAATAGTGTCTGCTAGGCAATCCTTACCTGGGAACTGATTCCATTTTGTAAAGATGATTTGAACTAGTATTCTCATTTGGGTTGTTTTTACTTTTATTATTATTATTATTATTATTATTGATAGGATTTTCATTACCATAAAGGTACCTGTGTTCAGTAGGATAAAAAAAAAATACTCTAAGGCCTTCCATAGAATAAAAAACCAAAAATAAATCAAATTACGCACATACATTCAAATTTCTTTTAGATTGAAATACAAAGATGTTTTTCTTCTCTATATTAACCAGGATTTGTTATTAAAAGTAGGATACATATATTTTTTCTTAGTACATAAAACCAGATTTTTCAAATTGGCTTTAACATTACTTCTCTCTGGATGAATTGTTAATACCAAAGTTCAGAACAAGAAAAAAATTCCCAAAATGCAGGAAAGAATGATAGTCCAAATAACTTGTGAACTAAAGTATTGTCTCTTGTCTAATTAACAAATCTTCAAGATGTGGATTTTCCTCTTTCAGATGAGTGGAGTTACTCCATAATTTTTCTTAGCACTTCAAAGAGAGCATTATGGCATTTCTTGGTGTCTATGTTTAATTTTTTTTTTTTTTATTGCCCAAAAATCTTGGGTCAAATTTTATATCCTATCTTCCTTGGAAGAAGATGAATAAATATGTTTTGCTAATTAGATAAAAGAAAAAACAAAGTCATAGAGTACAAGAAATTGGAATTTGAAGGGAATCTCTTCAATAATTACTACAAGTATAAGTTTGGGATTGAAATAATGATAGAAATTAATCTAAGTTTAGTCTATAGGGAACTTAGCCATTCAGTTAACAATTAGTAAAGTGTAGTAATTAACATTATTTACATTCAGACTAATGTCCACATTCTTATTACGTTTCAACTGTTGTGACCTTCAGTTTTAGGCTG